AGAAACACTCAGGACCTCTAACACAGAGGCTCCCCCTCCCCTCGTTTTTTATTTTAAACATCCTTTCTGAAACTTTTGTTAGTTAGATGTCATCTTGATCCTTTAGTTTTCATTCCTGTAATCGATCTCTTCATCTTTGTTTTTTACCTTCTGGAAGATTTCCTCAGCTTTCTCTTCCAGTGTTTACAATTTATAATCTCTTTATATTAACCTCAAAGTGTTCCTTTTTGAAAAAGTTTTCATCATATTCTGTTCTTGTTTGGTATTTGCAGTCTATTCACCCATCCCTCTGAGGATTTAATTGTAGGCTGGGTTCTTTGTCCTGAGCTGGCACTGTTTCCTCCTATTCTCTGTGCTTCCTTCAAGCTCCCTTTTTTCTATTTTGGGCCCTTCTGTTGTGTCTGAGCCTGTCCCCAGTGCCTGGTGACCCTTTGTTATGGGTTGGCATTTAAGATGGAAGCACCAGCTCATGGGTGGGGGCCTGCTGGCTGGTGGGCTACATAGTGGGGTGACGAGCAGGAGCTGGCTCAGGGATCATGGGCTGGTCCACCCTGGAGCTCTCGAGAGACAAAGCCCTCAGTGTCCAGCATTCAGGGGAGGCTGCGGGAAGCAGGAAGGAGGGTGAGCCCGAGTGGTGGGGAGGGGCCTGCCATTGCCATTCAGTGTGCGTGCACAGTTACCCAGTTACCCTTGTTTCCACTCTAAAGTTGCACCTCCTCCCCCACCTCCTCCCGACCTCCAAACTCCTTCCCCACCTGCCCGTGTTCTAGAGTGCTGTGCTGGGTTCCTTTCTGCAAAAAATACACCTGAAACAGAAGTGGGCACCCAGGAGTCTAACCTATTTGTTTACGAACCCTGTTTCAGCCCGCCTGATTCAGCCTGAAACTTGCACTTGCTCCCCTGTCCCCACCCCAGTTGGTTTCTGGTTATTCTGGATCCTAGGGCTCTGCTCAGTATCCACCTCCATGGGCCCCTTAGGTCACAAACCCTCCACTGGCTAAATTCCTTGCCTTCTGCTTTCGGCAATGCCAGGCCCTTGTGCTACTACCTCTCCCCTCTCACTCTTCATTGTGGAGGCTTCTGCACTCTCCACTTGATTGTTGTTTTAGAGGAATCCTGGCAGGAAGAGAGATAAGCTATGTGTACAGTCTGCCACTGCCTTGCCCTAGGGCCCTCCTCCTCCTCAGAGATGGCTCCTACTGTCCCCACCCATGAGCTGATGCTTCCATCTTCCCGGGGAAGAAATGCTAGGAGAGAGGTTGTGAGAGTGTGCGTGTGCAAGAGCATGTGCTTGCATGCATGTGTGCACATGTGTATGTGAGGCCCTGAAACAGACTCTGAAGGTTCTGCAGTCAGCAGACATCTCACGTTGTCTTGGGTACAAGGTGGCAAAAATACAAGGTGACCAAAAGAGTAGGTGGCCTCCGTGCTGAAATGGGTATGCACCTCAGAGTGGTGATTCTGAAGGGGATTCACTCAGCTCAATGATTAAATCCGGGACATTCCATTTAAAACACTTCCCATTACCTTACTTGGGGAGCTGGCAGGGTATGGAGCTTTTCACACTGCCCTGATTACAGAATTGACTTGTTCATTTATTCTTCAGCAAGGTTAGATGGAGCCCATCCATGTCAGGCACTGTGCTTGGTACAAGGGGTAAAATGGCAAGCAGAACAGGCACTGCTGTTGTCCCTGTGAAGCTTATAGTCCAGGGTGGGATAGCAGGAGGAGGGCAGACTTTCCTCCTACAACTATTATCATTTGTGTTTGGAAAGATCAGATTTAGTGCCAGAGATTGGCGCTGAGCCCTCAGACGACAGAGGACTTTTTGAATCCAGATGTAGCCTGACATCACTTTCAAGACTTGGTTTGCTGTCAGAGCAGATGTCCCCTTTTTTGGTTTATAAACATTAGCACTGTCTTTGGAGTGCTCATGCACTAAGGCAGGCACTCTGCATGTCCATGGTCTCCTCTGCCTTGGCGGTAATGCCCACAGGGAGAGGCAGCATGTCCACTTTGCAGAGGACAGGACTGGCTTAAGCCATTGGGCCTCAAGTTCAAGTCTGCCTGTGAATTCCATGCTGCTCATGCTCTATACAAAGTGGTCCTCCACCCCACACCCCACCTCCCTACAACTTTCTGATGCTGGGACCTGAGGCTGACTGCAGAGTTTGTAAGCTTCTGCAGGGGTACGAGGGGGGCATGGGCACCGTCAGGTAGACCCTGCCTTGAGTCAGGTGTGTGGGATCCTCTTGGGGTTGTGACTTCAGCCACATAGATCATTTATCTTGCAGATCATTAGCTCTCCTGACTTGGGATGGAAAGAATTTAGGTTATTAGGCACCTTTATGTGACTGGGTTGGGAAGAAGCCCTTGGGTACATCTTATTGCTGTAGGGAAGACAGGCCAGAAATGCCCACCTTGTTCCATCAGGGCCGCCTTCCCAGGGTTCTTGAGTAGCCAGAACCCACATCATACTCCTCACCCAGTACCTGGTGCTGTGGGTCCCTGAACCATCCAGCCCTCTAGGCTCTGTTCCAGAGCCCTGCTCTGCCCAGCACCACCTTCCTTGGGGGTTAGGGGAGGTGTACATATTCTCTCTCTCTCTCTCTCTTTCTCTCTCTCTCTCTCTCTCTTTCTTTCTTATTCTTTCCACCTCACCTCCCTGGGCTCCTTCATGATACCTTTACACACTTTCACCTCATTGCAAATGAGTTTTGGTCCAGGTCAAAGCTGGGCCTTTGGTCATCCTTGTTTAATGCTTCACAGATAAGGATTGGGGGAACAGTGAAGCGTAGGCTCAAACAGAGGAGCCCACACTGCTGGCTTTTTCCCATTACATTTTCATTTCTCACTCAGAAAAAGGATGGTTCTAGCATTGTGGTGAGTGGAGAGAATCATCACCGGCCAACTCTGGAGGTCTTCTAGCCTTGGGTTGGAATGCACACCCCCCCCATGGGATTCCCAGATACCCAAACAAGCCCTTCTAGACACCCTTGTCTGTTGGAAGGCTAAAGGCACAGCTCCCTGTCTTCCAGGGCAGCTTGTGGTTGGAGTGTCCTGCAGACAGTTTCTGTTTTTGAAAGTTTATCAGAAATTATGCATTTATTATAGAGAGACCATGGAGGTTCCCTTATTCCTTTTGTTTACAGCATGTTTTATTTCTACATTTTAGTGGTTCTGAAATTGGGATGCATGTTAAAATAGACACATGTTTGGATATGGTACTATGCCTTTTTTGTGTGAAGGGGTGTTCCCCAAATGACTGCATCCTAGAATTGAGGAAATACAATGAAAAGTGCATTGGGAGAAAATCTTTCAAAACATAGAATCCATGGGAAAAAACAAGCATAGGACATCTTGGTGGTGGAGGAGCTGAGACCACTGCCTTAAATCTCATGTTTCCCTAGAAACTCTATGTGTCACCATTATGGGGAAAAATGCCAACCCCCATTCCATCCTGTGGGGGTGACATACTTGGAGAAACAGTTCCTAAAATTATCCCCATACCATTCCTCCTTCAGCTTTCAGGTCAAATATATTTCCATCTTTATCATAAGGGCCTTTCTTTTCCCGTTGTTATATTTGCTAATTTACAATTGTTTGCTTTGAAAAACAAGCATTTTTTCTTTTGCCTCCTGGCCTTTTGGTTTTCCTAAGGCAGCCTCAGAGAGCATGCCTGTGGTGGGCTCCAGGAATGTCCTGGGAAGCCTGAGCCCACTGGGCTGGGGTCCTGGCTCCCGCCTCCGCCATAAGCATGTGACAGGCAGAGGCCATCCATGTGCTGTGGGGCCCGCCATGCTCTGTGTAGAGCCTGCAGTCAGTGTGTAGGATGGGGCTGCATCAGGGCAGTTCTGTGTGAAGAATGGAGGCACTTCCAGCAGTTTGTCAGGATGGGCAGGAGCTTGTCAGGTCAAGGACTGGATCCCAAAGTCTGAAGTTCGAAAGGACAACCCAGAAGGAGTCCGAAAGTGAACTGCTCAGAGAGACTTCCTGCAGAGTTTATCCCAAAACGGGTGCTGGTCCTCAGTCTTCCTGTATGCGCCGCTTTGAGGTGCTTAAAGGAAGGTGTGCAAGGTTGAGTCATACTCTCACAGGGAGACTGAGGCAGAAAATAGACCAAGCCCTGACCAGCAATTCACAGAGCAGTCTGGAAAGAAATAGGAAGAAAGCACCACCCTCTTCTAGCCTTCTCCTCCTCCTCTCCCATCTCCTTTGCACGCTCTTCCCACAAAGCTGGGTCTTTCATGCGAATATCCCCTAGCCCAGCCCCAGTCTAGGTCACAGGGGCTTTGATACTCAGATCAAGGCTGGCTGGCGTCATTCTCAGATACTTCCTAGTAGAGAATTTCCACAGCTGCAGATGAGAAAATGGCTTCCTAGTGAGACAAGAAACAAGGAACCAAGTCTTCTTTTGTTTTTCTATCCTGAACCAGTTTCTGACCTTGAATACCACTCTCAGGGCTTATACCAAGAGGATGCAGAGTGGAGTGAAATGTTTCTGACCTCCCTCTCCGCCCCAGCCTCCAGTAGAATCCATTGACTGAAGCACCCAGCTGGCCCCGGGGCCCTAGAACAGGAGGCTGTGTCACCCTCACTGCAGGTAGTGGCCCCTCAGGTGGCTCATCACACTCTGTGGACTCCTTTCCTCACCCCACACCATCCCCTGTGAGTAAGTGGTAATAGCTGCTTAATATGCTGACTTACCCAATCCCTTCTTGGTCCATTACAACAAAGTTGCTCTTTTCTCATTAGAACCATTTTTGTCAGGGTGTCTTTAATCAACAGCTTCCCCAGGGACAGTATTTTTAGAAGTTGTATTTTTCACACTCTCCCTTTCCCCTTTTGGAAAATCTCATCCCAGTGCCTAGTGAAATGAACTAATGAGATGCCAGGAGAGCCCGGGCCGTGTTAATTGGAACATGTGGAAGAAGTGGCCACACACACCTTCAGCTCCTTCCTGCCTTACCCGTGGTCTTTTCTCTGTCTCTTTGGTGTAGGTTGCACAGACAGCAGATGGTGTGGATGCCGACCTCTGGAAAGACGGCTTATTTAAATCCAAGGTTACCAGATACCTGTGTTTCACAAGATCATTTTCCAAAGAAAATGTAAGTCTAGTCGTAGTTTCTGTTTGCTGAGTGAGCACAAGTAATTTATATTCCGGTTTGGAATTTTCTCATTTTGTTGTTGTGGTTTATTTTCATTGCCATATTAATTTATCTGTGGTTTTAGGGAACTGGGTAGAATCAGCAGCCAGCACTGTGTTTCATTTATTAACAGTATTATTAACCATGTACCCAAGTGTACCGTGAATTCCATTAAATTGTGTTCTCAAAAGGAAACCAGGAAATGTCTCTACCAGCTCTCATTTGCCTACCTTTCCTCCGAGCAACAAATCACAGTGCAGCAGTGAGAGTTCTCCAGTGGAGCAGGATTTAATGCTGGCCAGCAAAGGCAGCATGGCTCGGGGAGGGCCCGTATGACCCACCCCATCCACAGACATCATGCCCTTGCTTCCACAGTGACGTTTCTGCTCCCTTTGAGTCTCTGTGTGACATATCACATTTCATGATTTTTGTGGGTAAGTATCCACTCATGCAGATTTCTCTTACTGTGCTTTTTAAAAATACTTGCACCTGTAAATGAGGAAACTTTAAAGACATCTACTAAGGGTTTTGTTTTGTTTTGTTTTACATCTAATAAGGTATTTTAACAGATGAATTAGGAAAAAAGGAAGTAGCTTTAGTATCTTCTCTGTGCAAGGCCTGTCCTGGGTACCTAATTCTCTCCGCACATAATCTCTACAAGTGGAAGTTCCTTTCCAGTGAGGAAACCGAGATCTAAGAGGTGACATGCTTCTTCAAGGTTACTTCTCTTCACTAGCCCCAGATAGGGAGCAGTTGGGATTTTCATTTATAGGCTAACATTTCATTTTTGGTTAAATGTTACTGTCTCTTTGTCATGTCAATTTTTATTTTTGGAAATCTTTTTATTCATTTATTTATATAAATTATAACAGTAATATTTATTTGTGGTTAAAGAAAAAAACTGAACCCAGATGACAAATATCCTCATTCAATAGCATGAAATGGGGAAAGCATTTCCCGATTCCTCTCTCTGCCACCTGGGGAGAGGAGGGTGGGTCCATCACAGGGTCCTGGCATGTCCCCTCAGTGCTTTCTGAATGTAGACCATCACATGGCTTTCTGGCTTGCACTCTCTTCTACCCCCATTCCTGTTGTTTGTTGTTAATTCTTTGGTAGGATAATTATTCTGAACATATTCAAGACTGGGAGAAAAGTCATTGCTTTATTTTTTTTCCCCTAATTACAAGAGCGATATATGCTCATTGTAAAGTACAGAGTTTATAATGGAGTCAGGGAAAATCTTGGCACAAAAGACTGGTAATCTTCTCAATTCAGGCATTTGAGTATATTTTAAATACCAGGAAGGTAGCAGGGCTAAGGCATGGACAAGGGCACTGTGAGTTTGAAATGAGTCACTGAGCAGCTGGAGGAGATGCCCAGGCATGGGCTGAAGGCTGAGTAGAGGCTTCAGTTAAAAATGAGTAGAGGCCAAACAGGCTTCAGTTAAAAGTGGCCCGAGGACAGCCATGATCTCTGTGATCATTTTTATTTTTGTTTTCATTGCACTTTACCCCAAAGACTGTGGGGTGTTGGTACCTAGGCTAGCGGAGTCCCTGCATCCCATGGAGTGGGGACAGTGGCAGATCTGAATGTGACAAAGACAAGTCACCAGGGCTTGTTAGCATTGGGTGTCATGGGTAAGTGTATCAGAGAAAACCCATTGATTTCTTCAACATGTGTTGAACATTAAAAAGAGATTTCTTGGGCATGAAGAAGGGATGTTAGAATAGGACAAAGGCAGTGTGAAAAGCCTCTGCCTCGCTTTTGAAGCGGTGCATATTGTTTTTGGAAAAAGAATGAATGGATCCGATACTGGGATCCAAACGATCAAGTTCCAGCGGTTGGCAGGGGCCCACTTGCCAGCCCAGGAGTGCAGGAGGAATTGAATATTTTAATCTGTTACAGCCAGTCTGTGCTGGCCCTGTAGTCCAAACCAAGACTTTGAAGAACATAATGTTTTACAACTGTAAAGGAGGGATGTGGGATCTCCAGACTGGACAGATTCTTAATTGGGTGACTTGAGACTCCCAGCGTAGGAGTTTTGGGAGACTCCTTTGGAACCTAAATTCCTTTCCCCCAATAATGGTATTAATACAGAAACCTGGCTTTGGAGTGACATTGCTTCCTGGGGAAGGATCGAGATTAATTGCACTTTTCATGCCCTGTACTTTCTGCATTACCTGTAATAATAATGTACATAGATTAGGTAGGGAGGATATTAAACAGAAGGATTTATGAACATTTGAATATTAAGTTGGTTATCTGTGGCTACCTTAAATGCAAGGTTGTCAAAAATAATTACAGTATACTAGCAAATACTGGCTACCAGAGACAATATAAATACCCTGAGTCAGTGCATATTGGGCTTTTGGCATGAATCATTTGCTCAACAAGGATTGGGAATACGTTCTTCATATTTATGAGGAGGAAATGAAAGAGAGCACAGATGGAGGAGGGGAGAGGAACAGGCAAAATTAATGGTGTCGCAGACCCACTGTATTAAACCCAGTACAGTGGCAGCCCTGTGTGAGGAGGGACCACACTTGGGCTGTGGGGGACTCTGACAGTGCAGCCTCCCATTTTGTATGTATGCAAGGGGTTTTCCATGCTTTTTTTTTTAAATGACTGTACCACTGATGTTCAGATTTTAAAATCAGGGACATTTGTAGAGTGTGTGGAGGGTGAGGTCACTAAGTGGTTTGCAGTTGACTTCTGTAAAACCCAACTTGTCAAGTAGAAGACCATTTGAGAAGGATATTGATGAATGCCCATCCATCTGCAGGGCAGGAAAACATGCCTAGTTGTTAATTTCTCAATGCAGAAAGCAGTGATGACATGGAAAAGCAACTGCCATGAAAAAATATTATGATAGATTAGGCCAGGCGATTCCGAAAGCAGCTGATGCTTGCAAGTTAGGTTAACAGTTCAAACCCTTCCTACACGGTCAGAGATTTATTCCACATTCTGAGGTCCCACTCACTGCTCACTAGGCTATGCTGTACATTGTCTTCCTGAAGCCTAGCTACCTGGAATGTCAGAATATTAATTGTTGCCAAATATGATAGTTCGGAGAGAAAGAAACGGTTTCCTGATGTCAGTGCTGTAAAAACACTGATCATAGGTTATACTCGCTGTTTTGACCTTTCTAGTTAAATTTTAATAATTTATTTCATTTGTATACTTTTGGTTGATAATGTATCTATTATATTTATTAGTGTATATCAGTACTTTAGATATTTTTATTGATATAGTTTAGATTTGACATCTCAGCAAACCCAACTTGATGTGTGTGTGTGTGTGTGTGTGTGTGTATTTTTTTGAGACAAAGTCTCCCTCTATCACCCAGGTTGGAATGCAGTGGCACAGTCTCAGCTTATTGCAACCTCTGCCTCCCTGGTTCAAGCGATTCTCCTGCCTCAGCCTTCAGAGTAGCGGGGACTACAGCTGCCCACCACCATGCCCAGCTAATTTTTGTATTTTTTTAAAGTAGAGATAGGGTTTCACCATGTTGGCCAGGCTGGTCTCAAACTCCTGACCTCAAGTGATCTGCCTGCCTTGGCCTTCCAAAGTGCTGGGACTACAGGCATGAGCCACTGTGCCCAGCCGATTTTTATTTTTTTATTTTTTTGAGACAGGGTCTTACTCTGTTGCCCAGGCTGAAGTGCAGTGGCATGATCTTAGCTCACTGCAGCCCCAACCTCCCAGGCTCCAACCATCCTCCTACTTCAGCTTTCTGAGTAGCTGGGGCTACATGCATGAGCGCCACCACATCCAGCCATTTTTTTTTTTTCATTTCTAGAGATGGGGTTTTGCCATATTTCCTAGGCTGGTCTCAAACTCCTGAGCTCAAGCACCCCATCTGCCTTGGCCTCCTGAAGTGTTGGGATTACAAGTGTGAGCTACAGTGCCTGGCCTCCAGTTTGATTTCTGACTCTGAGTGGCCCAGTTGAAAAATGTGCCCCCAAAATTAATTCATTCAGCCAATAATTACTGAGTACCTGCTGTGTGGCAAAAACCATGCTAGGCTTGTATTTACGGGAGGAACAGAGATAGTTTTGGTCCTCATGGTTCTTAAACTCTAGAAGGGAGACAGATATTAAACAAATAACCCCACAAATTGATAGGGAGGGGAAAACAGAGTGCCAAGAGGGAACATGACACAGTTTAGATGATGAGAACTCCCTGCTTGGATTTCAGAGACATGGCACAGTGCAGGTGGAGGTGGGATCTTGGCTCCCATATGCAGAGATGGAGGTAGCAGCCCTTCTTCTCTAAGCAAGATGGAACAACAGCCTGAGAAGTTGCTGTCCAGGGCAGAGTGATGGCTGATCAACTAGATGCTTGTCCAAGGATGCTGAACAAGTAAACGGAGAGCATGCTCACGCTGGGCATTGGGGTTGAGGCACTTCTGCAAAATGGGCACGTGGAGTGCATTGCTAGTATCCTAACAGGAGAGATTGGGGATTAGAACCCATTATTCTTTCCTTAACTGGCTCTGACTAGAGAGGGAGAACCAAGCTGCAGATTACTCTGAAGATTTTGATGAAATCTCCAAAGTGGCCCCACATATTTAAGTTGTAGGGTAGATATTTTTAGTGCTCATTTCCAGCTTGAAATGCGGGCTGCAAGTGCTGGCATGTTTGCAAAGAGCTTTCTCTCGCAATTACAGAATAGTCTACTGTCTTTGAAAGATATTTTTACACTAGTTACAGAAACTGTGCACTGTGGACCCCGTATACTACCACTAAATAGAAACTTTAGGAGGCCCTGGTGCATGTCATTTTAGAAGATGTGTAATATTGAGGCAGCAGAGCTTTTACTCTGTATTAGTTTATGATTCTTGGGATTTTGCAAAATCTGTCTAGCAACTGAAATGTGTGTCACTGTGCAGACTGGTGATCACTTAGGAGTGTGATGGGTTCCCTGTTAGGTTTACGTGCAGCTCTTCCCTAGAGTGCCTCAGGAATTTGCTCTTTCTAAAACCTCCTGACCTTGAGATCTGATACTCAGGGCTGAGTGACAGCCTGGTCCCGGGACCTGTGAGCACAGCTGCCCTCTGCTGGGTTATGTCTAGAGCATCTCCTGGATTGCTCCGAGCTCACCAAGGCCATATCTGAGTGAGTGGCTTTGAGGTTCCGCAGATGAAACTTCTTCCCGGGGGCCACACGAGTCCCTTTGTAACCACTGGGGAACATTAAGTGTCACCTACTCTAATTAACCTGCTGTCATAAAGCTGCATGAGTCATTGTGGTTGAATATGCATCTTGAAGCCAAAATGGCAAACCTACCACAGGCGTGTTCAGATTAATAGTCTGTATCTCTTTTCTTTCTTCCCAAGAGTCATCTGGGGAACGTGTTAGTAGATATGAAGCTCATTGACATCAAGGACACACTGCCTGTGGGCTTCATCCCAATTCAGGAGACAGTGGACACACGTGAGTCATCCTTTAGTAGCATTCATCACAATGAGGGTTTTCTTCTTCCAGGTATATTTGTAGGTGTTTTTAATGTGCATTTTTCTTCAGAAATATTTTAGGAGGCCTTACTGTGTGCCCATGAATAAACCCTGCTGCTTTTGATGTGTGTGTGGCTGGATTCTCCAAGGAGTTTGCAGAGTATTCTGGGTAGTGGCACGTAAATGAGCAGAACATCCCTTTCATTTAGAATGGTGCTCCCTGCTGAATTGGCTCACTGGGGAATGGAATGGTGAAACTGGATATAGTTTGTCTCTAGTCCTGCCTCTGGTGTTGCTGAAGCCAAGCTTGGCACAAGATCCAGAAGGAAGCAGAAAGAAAACAGTCAGAAGACGCCCAGAGAATACAAGACCAATAATGTGCCCGTTTGGGGCCCATAGAGCAAACAAGAAAAGTGAGAATCAGAAAGACTGCGAATTAAAGTTCACAGGTTCGAATTGGACTGAATATTCTGACCCCTGAGCAGTGCCGAGCATAAGTGAATCACTGAGGAATCGCAGTTTCTTCATGGTGCTGGAGCACTTGGAGCTTCTTGACCCGCACATGGGTGATTAAATGGTGTTGGAAAACCTCTGGCAGTTGGGCTTCCTTGTTTTGGTGTAATATAACTTACCTCATTTCATTTTTAATCACTTGTCAGCCAACTTTAGGATATCTAAGAGTGAACACACAAAAAATACAGAGAATCCTTTTGTTACAACTCAGGGTTCCTTAGTTAAATGCTCTGTCTCATTTTCTGTCTCATACTTTATTCTTTCATAATTAGCTCCACTTTGGTCCCACTATTTTTTACTGTTTTCTTGCTAGCACTTCATATGATATGAACTAGAGTTTCTGTCTATGCAGATCCCACCTAACTGTTATTTTCCTGAAACCAGCAGACCCCGTTGTATAGCATGTTTTTATTTTCCTGATGGCCTCTTCGCATTTCGACACTGGATTGCTTTTTGTCCTTTGTTATTGTATGTATTACCTGATATTCATAAAAACTGATATTTAGTATGCATTTACTGTATGCTTACCCCTGTGATAAAAGCTTTACCTCCCTAATGTCATTTAATCTTCAGAAGACCCCTCTTTAGAGATGGGCATTATTATACCCATTTCACATATGAGAAAAATGAAGCACACTCACTACTTACGGATGAAAGAACTTAGCCAAGGTCATGTATCTAGAACTGGAGGAATAACAAGGATGTTCACATATGTCTTACTCCAGCCACACTTTTAACCACAGCACCACACTGAAGAGCATGTGTAAGCACCTTTTACAGTTATCTTTTATATTAATGTATAGTTTTTAAAAATTAAGATATAACTCACATACCATGCAATTCACCCCTTTGACGTGTACAGTTCATGGTTTGCACATTCTATCACCCCCAAAACCCATTATCAGGATATCACCCCATACCCCTTAGTAACCACTCTCTTATTTCTCTTGAGTCCTCACCTCCCCACTCCCCACCAGCCCTAGGCAACCACTGATCTGCTTTCTACATAGATTTGCCTATTCTGGACATTTCATATAAATGGAATCACACAGTGTGTGGTCTTTTGTGACCAGCTTCTCTCACTTAGCATAATGTTTTCAAGGTTAGTCCATGTTGTAGGATAGACCATTGCTTCATTCCTTCTTATCACCAAACAATAGAATATTATATGGATATACCACATTTTGGTTATCCAATCAACTGATGTCTATCTGGGTTGTGTGTCCTTTTTGGCTGTTAGGCATGAGGTTGCTATGAACATTTATGTGCAAGTTTTTGTGTGGACATGTTTTCATTTCTCTGGCATCTGCCTAGTCATGGAATTGCTGGGTCATGTGGTAACTGGGTATATTTGAAGAACTACCAAATGATGCTTCAAAGGAGCTCCACTGTTTCTTATTCCCAGCAGCAGTGTACGTAGGTTCCAGGTTCCCCGCACCTTCACCAGCACTTTGTTATTGTCTCTCTGTTTGATTCTATCATCTTAGTGGGTGTGAAGTAGAATCTCCTTGTGCTTTCTGTTTGCCCTTCTCTGGTGGCAAATGATGTTGAGTATCTTTTGACGTGCTTGTTGGCAATTTGTATTATCTCCTCTGCTTAGATGTCCAGTTGTCTCAAAGACTTGGATTGATTTCCCGCGTTTCCCTGTGTGTTTCAGTGTTAACATTTGCGTTGGTGTTCATTTTTTGACAGTCTGTCGACTTCAAATGTCTTTATATTGATATGTGGTGGAGCCACAAGGGGTTTTTCCATTCTGCATTTTCCTCTCAGTTAGTTGGACCAGTTCACTGAGACTCTGTCCTGTCTGGGCTTGGGGCAGCTGTTAGGGGGCCAAGGGGTCCTGGTTAGGAAGTTTCTCCCCTGTAACTGGAAGTACACAGGTTGCTGTCCTAAGTGTGGACTCTGCGGTTGTCCTGGGCCCAATGCCAGGTGCATTATCACACCGAAGGGTGGGTGGCTGGGAGCCTCTTCATGTCTGGGTCTAGCAATATTTCCTGGAGCCTTTACCCAGGGGACAGAGGAGCCCATGCTGACCAGATACGCCTTATGGTCAGTTCTGTATTGTTTGAGAGTATTCAAGGCCCTGATTTTATAAAGTCAGCCAAAAACAGAAGACTCCTATAATGAATCTAAAATATAGTTTGCTGTAATCCATATAGCACTGAAAAACTGGAAGACTGTTTGTTTTAGTAAAGTGCTGTGTACTTTCTCGTGTGTTCATTAGCATGACTGAACACATTTCTATTGACTATGTATAATATGTTTACTTAAAATTAGGCCTGCTTAAGCATGTGTAATTAGTGGCTCCATCTCTTACCCCGAGTTTGCTGCAGACAGAGGAATGGAGCCAAGAGCAGCATGGCAACAGCAAGTGAAACCCCCAGTGTTAGTTTTCCTTGTGTAACAGTCTCATCATCTTCGTGCCTTCAAAGGCCAATCCGATGAGCTGATAATCTTTGAAGGTGCAGAGTGGCTGTGAAGAGTACCCCCCTGACCCCCCAGGTTGCTGTCCCAAGTATGGACCTCAGGGTTGGGTCTTGCCACACAGGAGTGTGGACAGGAGGGAGCCTCTTCTTTTCCAGTTCTAGGGTCATTTCCTAGATGTTCTGCAGTGTTAGGGTCTGGATTCAGAACTTGGTTTCTCTCCGCTCGTAGATCTGCTCTAGCCCTCAGTTTCTGTGCCTGGAGAACCCACAAAGTTATCTGACCTTTAAAAAACAAACTTACATCACTAAAAACATAATAACAACAAAACAATTCTTGTCCTCCTTCCCTTCTACCCACCCCACCCCCGTAGTAAAACCCCCTGGCAGGACTGTACTTCTCCTCATTCTGTTCCTCAATTTGAATGTTGATTGAATGTATTATTTCCTGTCATGGAACTGCAAGGTCTTGAAACCCAATACCAAGTACAGGCATAAATTACACATTAGAGGCTTGTCAATAACGACAGTAAGGTCCCACGCAGCTGTTCCTTACTGAGCACTTACTGTGTGCCACGCACTGGACTAAGTGGATCATATGTGCTGGCACAGTGCAACTAGCCCACATCCCTATGTGGTGGGTTTCATTAACTCCCTTTTACAGTTTACCAAGACCCAGAGAAATTAAGTAACTTGCCTAAGGTCATAGTGCCAGAAAATGGTGGAGTTGGGATTTCAACCCAGATGAGTCTGACTCGTGTATTAAATGGCTGCAGTTGGTTGAAACTCAGGTTTAAAAGCACAAACAAACACATGCCAGTGGTCAGCACTGGAGGTTGCTCGGGGACCAACTTCTTACTCTAAGGCTTGTTAAGTAAGACTCACATGCTTATTCTTTCTATCTTACGTAAAACTTATTTCAGGGAGACCAAATAGTTGATGAAGGTAAGTTATATATAGAAGGATTCTAGCTTAAAAATGCAGAAGGAAGCCCAGTGCCATCGCTCACACCTGTAATCCCAGCACTTTGGGAGGCCAAGGTGAGCGGATCATGAGGTCAGGAGTTCAAGATTAGCCTGACCAATATGGTGAAACCCTCGTCTCTACCAAAAATACAAAAATTAGCTGGGCATGGTAGCACATGCCTGTAATCCCATCTACTCAGGAGGCTGACGTAGGAGAATCACTTGAACGTGGGAGGCAGAGGTTGCAGTAAGCCAAGACTGCGCCACTGTACTCCAGCTTAGGCTACAGAGCGACACTCTAAAAAGGCAGAAGGAATAACAGAGTTCAAAAATCACCATTGTGAACCTTTAATAAAGTATGGATCTTGGCAACAGCCATCAGGGGGCGAGAAAGTGCTCAGAGGATGGCCCTTGGGGAACTGTGTGACCAAGGTCCCAGGCCAACACCAGCAGAGCTCAGCAAGAATGGCCCAGCCAGACTGTGGGCCTTGCTACATGACAGCCTAGAAGGACACATGCCCCTGGGCAGCATGTGCACCTAAAGGACCTAACCTGAGTCTAATCAAGGCCTTAGCTCTGTCAGTCTACAGGAAGCACAGGGGAAGGACCCAATTTCTCCAACCTGTCAGTGCTCTGAATAAAAGGGAGCAGGAGTGGTTTTTCCAGAGCCAAATGGACTGGGAGGCCTGACACCCAGAGGCAGCACCTTGGCGTCCTGCAGATCCGGATGCAGGCAGAATGGAGAAAATGTGCACGGAGACTCTCTCTTGGATGGTACTCGGGAATTCTGTTCATTTTGTTAGGAGGTGATGGCATGGTGGTCTTTAAAGAAGTGTCTATTCTAGATGCCTACTGAGGTATTGATGGTGATGTGACATGGTGTCATCGGGGATTCATTTTAAGTATCCAGCAGAACTGCAGGGGCAGGAAGAGAGGAAACCAGCTTGTCCATTTTTCGTGGTATTGACACTGGGTGATAGGAACACGTGGATTTGTTCCACTATTCTCTCTGCTTTGGGGTATGTTTGAAGATTTCTGTAATAAAAAGCAGAAAAGAAAAGAAGGCCATGTAGTGAAATGTGAATGCGCGGGGCGTCAGGGTGCAGGTTTCTGATGGCTGAGCAGTGAGCAGATTGTGGTTGTGGCTCTTAGAAGCCACCCAGGTTTACTGTAGTGTGTGTGGTCCTCTCTTCAGCACGGGGTGTCTGGGTTGGCTCCTGCATGCAGAGCAGGGTGATTGCAGCCCCAGGGAAGGCAGACGGCAGAGCCCAGCCCTTCTGTCCAGCAGCTTAGGTGACCCACCACTTCTGCTGCCAGGAAAGGGGTGTGACAGAGGACGTGGTTTTCAGAGTAGAGATGGTGGCATCTCTGGAAAACTTATACCTTTTCTGTTGTCCTTTCCTTCAGAGGAAGTGGCTTTTAGGAAGAAGAGGCTGTGCATTAAGTTTATTCCACGTGATTCAACGGAAGCTGCAATCTGTGACATTCGGATCATGGGCCGGACCAAGCAGGCCCCGCCTCAATACACATTTATTGGGTGAGTGTTAATGACGGGAATCGCAGCTACTGTTCTTCCCTGAGAGCGCTCAGAGCACTCCAGGCAATGAGGTCCAAGAAGTTTCTGCGCAGTCCCCGGGCTGTCAGCCACGGGCCTCCATCAGCCCAGCACTCCCCGCTGCCCTTCCTGCTCAGCTGCAGCCTCTCTGCCTCTAGGCTCGCACTGCTGACTCCACCTTAGGGCCTTTCCTCCCCTGCCCTTCTGCGCATTCACCCTTGCAGCTCCTCTGGGTCCTTCCCCGACGTCCTGTGATGCCACTGGCCTCAACTCTTCACACCGGTTATTCACCCTAGGAAAGGTCACAGGGACCTATTTTGTACCACAGGGCCAAGGCCACTGGATGTGGTTGTGAGTGAGGCAAAGGCCCTGCTGTCACCGAGCTGATGTTCTAAAAGGGACAGACGAGCGATAAACAAGAAAATAAATGAGATAATTCCGGACAGTGAAGAGAGTGAAACACAATGATAAAGAGCGGGCTTCTCCGTGAGGGGGTCAGGAAGGTGACGCTTGAGCAGAGACCTGAACGTCAGGAAGCCAGCCATGCACAGATGTGAAGCAGAGCCTGCCAGGCAGAGCAGAAGGAGAGACGCGGGAATGTGCAGGCCTACGTTCTGGGTACAGAACGCAGCTGCATGATAATTCCCCAGTAAGCAGGGAACTGCTGAGGCCTGGGCCCGACTGTGCCTTGTTCCTCCTGTAGCCTCAGCACCGAGCATAGGCCTGGCTCTGTTGCGGCTCCATAAATACTCAGTACAGTGGAATTCCAGGGTTTCACCCAGGGCTCTGTGGATTGTAAGTGACAGGAAACCCAACCCAGTTTGGCTTGAGAAAAAGGAGGAATTTGTTGGCTGGCATGGCAGAAGAGTTCTGGAGGCAGGACTGGCACGCCTGGAAGCGGGAGCTGGAAGGCCGGCACTGGGTTCTGGTTTCCCTGTCTCCCCCTGGCTCTGGTGCTGGGCTCTGTTCTGACATGTTTCCCTCTCAGGGAGGCCTGGTGCTGCAGTAGCTCCACCTGCTTTTCATCCAGGTTCAAGTACAGAGGCCAAGAGCAAGTTTGTGTTCCCGATAGTTCAAAAGAAGTTCTAGAATTTACTCTCACTGGTCTTGATTGATTTAGGTAGGGTCATGTGCACCCTGGGCTGGTCACTGTTTTCTGGAAAATTCTTCCATTGACCAGGCCTGAGCAGGAAGTAGGATCAGCTTCATGGGAACTCAAGGACTAACCATGATGGGTGCTGCCCCTAAAATACAGAGGGGATGTAAAAAGTCACAAAGGGGGTGAACGGATGCCAGCTGACAGAGGAAATAGATGTTTACTGTCCTCAGTCAACTGAAATTCCAGGTGTGCACATTACTCAGCGTGGTAGATGGTTTACGGCCCCCTCAGCCAGGCCTGGCAGGCGCCATATGTCCCCCTGTGGGCTCCCAGAGACACCCTCTTCTCCTTGGCTTCTGAGGCCAGCCTCCTGGCTCAGGCCTGTACTCTGCTTTGCTCTTGTTCATTTGAGCCCAGAGCCGCCTCTTTATCAGCCAGGGCCTTTCCCAAAGGCCTAGACCTGGACAGAGAAGCAGGTGAGTCCTTGTGGCGTTTGCTTGAAGCCTGTAGGGAGCAGGTACCATAGAAATGCAGACGAGTTTCACCTCAGTGAGTCTTCAGCTCAGGCATCTGAGTGCTCTGTGTCAAGATCATGTGGTTAAGAAGGACCGTGATCACTCCCTTCCTACACACTCAAAAAGCCTGTTTCCTAGCGTGGTTTACAAATATTTCCTACAGGAGTAGGAAATAGTTAAGAGAATAAACATACTTCAGGCACCTCAGAAGCACCCATTTACATATAAATGGCAGAAACCAGCAATTTAGTAATGAACTTTTAAAGTCTAATATCAGTTACTATGTGTATCTTTAATTACAAACTGTCCTGTTGTAAAAAGATTCCATTTTTAACCAATTTAAACCATTTTAAGGAATAGATGTTTACCAGTATATACCTTGATAAAACCAAAGCCTTTTTTCCTTGATACCACTTTGGAAATACTGCTATAGTTTTAATCATCTTGGGGCAAAAATTCTTTTCCAGAGGAAGACAATTCCAGTGTTATTTTGAAGCAAGGAAATTTCAAATTCAGTATTCAGAACTCTAAGTCACCTATTCTTAAAAGTGGGCACAGTTCTACATGTTATTTTGCAAGGGTTTGGTACTGTCAGTTGGGGAAGAGAGAAAACTCACACTCCAAACAGCACCTCCAAAGCCTGGCAGCTGGAGGCCATGGCCCAGATGTGGAGAAATCAGTGCAGCTGGTTGGAATCACTCATCTAAGAAGACAAGATTGTGGTTTTACATGGTTCCTGTGGTGTTCTGAGAAGCTTATTAGGGGTTCCCACAGAATGAGTCTTTTTCCATTTTTTGAAGAGATTATATTCCTCTACACTAGGTCCCAAAGATACAGTTGTGTGGGACAGCTGGAAAGTTGGAAACTGAATATGGTGAAAATGATCCCGTCACTATTCTTAGGAGCATGGCTGTCTCCTCAGGACTCACAAGTGTGTGGTGTGTGTGGGTGGGGCTGTGGTGACTGTGTAAGGGAGGTCACAGGAGAGCTTATGCAGTGTCTGGGAGGTCCCTTGGTGTCCACTCCTAGTTGTGTGATTTGTGGGGCCTCAAGTTTTCTAGTTTGAATATGACTCCCAAACTGACCCTGAGAATGAGGCCAATGGCAGGTGACACCCAGCTGGAAGAGGCTGCGTCCTAAGATTGGGGTGTGTTAGAGAATAGGGGGCTGATTCTTCTCGTGGTTAAAAGCCAGCATCTCCCTATCTGTCCCTCCTGACTGCACAAAGGACTTGATATGGATCATCCCATCACTCTGCAAGGAAATGGCAAAACAAGAAGTTTGGAGAAGCAAGGAAAGTGCCGTCTGGGGTAGGAAGGCAAGCTCGGGGAGGGTGATGCAGGAGGCCTTGTCCCGAAGGCCTGCCTAGATGGAACAGGTCACCCTCGTGTCAGCTGTGACGCCCGGAGCACAAAGGAGATGGTAGAACCCATCTCACTTGGGGGGTTAGAATTGACTCTCTGGTGTTTGAGGCCATGACTCTTAGATGAGCTGGTTTGCTGTCACTCAGGTAAATGCTTTGTGCTACCCAGAGCCATGAAGATTTCTCTTTTTTCCTAAAGGGAACTGAACAGCATGGGGATCTGGTATCGAATGGGCAGAGTACCAAGAAATCATGACTCATCTCAACCCACAACGCCTTCCCAGTCATCAGCTGCTTCCACCCCAGCCCCCAACCTTCCCAGGTGAGGTCTTGTTGGTGGTGTCTTGCATTGTCCTGTGGTCGTGGGTCCCTGGACAACATTTTAGAAAACTGCCACTTAGTGTCTGCTGAAGTAGTACAAAGTACAGCTGAACAATTATAGAAGCAATATATCTTTAGAGGAGATTTTTAAAAATCCACTTGGAAATCTCTGTGTTACATGAATGCGAAGGCCATTCTGTAGTCTATTTTGTACGTGTCCTACAGGCTCCTAAAATTGCAGATTATGCAACTTAAAATTGGCTTGCTGTTCAGAAGAGTGCTAGGTACACACAGACACGTGCCGTGTAGCCATGTGGTTGGGCTCACTGGCCTTAAGGTAAAATTCCTTCTCTGTCTTGGCTAGCAACTCATTTGAAACCCAGGAGGGTTAGTGAGTTATTATATTCTTCATTTTCATATAATTTCTTTTTCCAGTGAGCTATAAACTAAGGAATGGGTAGTTTGGGTCTGAGAGAATAGTGAGGAGTTTTTCCGGAAATGCTAGTTTTAATAATTGTCTCCGCAGAGAAACTTGGGTGAGCCAACTGTTTGCTCTGCAACTGATTTCAGTCATAATAGAGGTAGCAACAGCCTCTAATGGCTGGGCATGGTGGCTCACATCTATAATCACAGCACTTTGGGAGGCCGAGGCGAGCGGATCATGAGGTCAGGAGTTCAAGACCAGCCTGGCCAACATGGTGAAACCCCGTCTCTACTAAAAATACAGAAATTAGCTGGGCGTGGTGGCAGGTGCCTGTAATGCCAGCTACTTGGGAGACTGAGACAGGAGAATCGTTTGAACCTGGAAGGCGGAGATTGCAGTGAGCCAAGATCATACTATTGCCCTCTAGCCTTGGACAAAAAAAAAAAAAGTGTAATAGTCTCTACATTTTCTGTAAAGAGAATCCTGTCAAGTAAAACTCCTGTGCATCACTTGGAGTAAATTGAGGGCAAGGAACAAACAGCAATGATGGATTAAGTTTGAGAAAGGGATTGCAAAAGTAAAACACGAACTGTGAGGTGGCGTGACTTAGGGATGTAACGTAAATGAGAATGGATCTCAAAGCTTCCGTGTGGGTAAGTAGAGAGGAACAAAATCTGTCAGGAACAGGACAGAAAAGTCGCCAGTGGGTCCTCCTGGGCCCTCCACACTACAGCCTGCCCTCCGGGACATGCCACCAGCTTTCTGTACCCTGTTCCTTTGCGCCAAGCCTCCGCCTCACTTGGAAGATTGCGCTGTAATGAGGCCCTGAAGCCCTGAGGACTCTGTCCTCTGGGACATCCCTCTATAAAGACAATCTGGTCTTTCTGATGACAGTTTCACAAACCAAGGGCAGTATTTAAACTTAACTACCTCTGGAATTGCCTGAAACTTTAGAAGTAGGTTTCAGTTTCACTTGGTATAAAAAGATAGGAATTGCTAATGAGCCTCCAGGGTTGCAGGATGAACAGTTGAGTGTCTTTGTTTGGTTCAGGACTGTGAGTCTGGCTCCATGCATCAGCACTGGTTTCTCCATTTCTGAGTGAGAGCACTGTCAGCTCTGCCCTGGAGGGCACTGCTGAGGGTCACCGTCACCTGTGCCAAGGCTATCTCTGGTGTGTCACCTGTGCTGGGGAGTCAGCTAAGCCCATGACCTGTGTGTGGGGGTCCTCCATCACCTGTGCTGAGGCCCATCCCCTGTACTCACGGTCAGCTCAAGTTTGGGCTCCTGGCAGAGGCTGGAAAGCCCCCACAGGCGCAGTTGCCCTGAAGTAGTTACAGCTGCTCCCTGCTGACATCATATGTTCTAGAAAGGCCCAGAAATGGGCACCACCTCAGGCAGGTTTTGACTTTCTGTGGATAAAGAAAGAGTGCTGATTTCTCAGATAAAGCAGAGAGAGTGCTCTCGGAAGCCTGCAGGTCACTGTGAGAGCAAGGTCACTTGCAGCCAAAGCAAGACGGCCTGAGAACATCGGGCCACAGAAGCCTGTTGGAATTGGAGGGTAGCGCATCAGAACCAAATGTTTCTAAGGCTTACATATTTATCACCTCTGCTGTACAGTTTATGGCTTACAATGGCTGCAAGGAAATTGGATCAGTTTTGTTTTACTTGCCAAATAAAACAGATGTCAAAATAGTCAATATAAAATGTATTCTAATTTGGCTGAGATAAGTCAGCCAGTGTGTAGCAGAATAATTGAATGTACATTAATGCTTCCAAGTAAAAACCACTTGTCTGTCCCAAGTTCTCCTATGCAGTAATTTACAGGTAGGATGCACACCTATGTGGGCGTCATCCATCCGGGTTTTTTGGGCTTTGTGGGATTTTTTTATTATTATTATTTTCCTATCCAGTAGCTTTGATTTTTTAAAAATGAAATACTGATTATTCGTTCACATTTTCCATTGAAGACCTAGGAAAGGATGAGTGTGCTGTTTTATTCCATGAGGCTTCAGGTCTCTGCACTCCCCAGAGGAGGAACCTGATCGCCTCCCTTCTGGTGGGGAACAGTGGCTGGGGCTTGTGCTCCAGGTGCTGGGGGTCTGCCAGGAGCCTAGAGGGTAAAGCAGGTCCCTCAGTAAGGCCTGCAGGGCCGCACACCAGCCTTGGGAATTCTTCTTTTCCCTCTCCCAGCCGGAGCCCTAGACATTAACCTGCACTGGTGGCCTCCTCCTCCTCCCTTCTTGCCCCAGGCTTCTGCGCCTTTGCTCCTGGTGCTCCCTGCACATGAGGTGTATTTGGCAGGTCTCAGCTCAGAGGACTTCTCTCCCAGGAAGCCCTCCCTAAGGCTCCTGGGCTGGGCCTGTGATGAGTCTTCTTCTCTGAGTGTTCTAGGTCATCTGGAGCCCGTGTGGTGTTGTAGTCATGTCGTGAGCCTCCGAGGAGCTCCCCAGCGCCCACCTGGATCCAGGCACGTATTTAGTGTCACAATAAATGTGTCCCTGGCAACCCCTCCAGACTCCCTGGTCCCTGAGCACTGCATTGGTCTCTCTCGATGACGAGAGTAATCTAGGCTTGTAGAAAATTGGCAGAATGTAGAAAGCAGGAAAAAACAGGAATTCCATTTCCCACTAGCAAATGCTAATAACCTTTTGTTATATTTCCATCAAGTCTTTTTCCTGTGTACTTTTTACACTGTTTTCTCAGGTATCCTTAACCGCTAACCTGAGAACCACAGCCAGTGCAGTCTTTGTGTGGTGTGCAAGTTGCTGGGAGCATGGTGACGCAGCGCCCTCTACTGCCCAGCCGTGGCAGTGGCGGGGAATGCAGTTCTAAGCCAGAGCTGGTGGCAGGCCCTTTCCCCGCAGAGTCCTGGCCCAGGCCCAGGCCCACTGGGAGGACCAAGGAAGGGGTGGGTCACAGATCTTGCTGTCTTCTTGAGCCTGTGTTCTTCTCTAAAGCCAAAACCACGTGCTCTGCCTCCATTTCTTGTGTCATCACTCCAGTTTCAAAGAATTCCCTGCCATTTTTTGGAATGTCATTCATTCCCAGCTTTGTTTCAGACAAAAGGTGAATCTTTGCAGTGTCTGTGGGCCATCACCTAAGGACCTCATGATTCTAGCGGCACTGTCTTCTCTGTCCAAACGCAGGAACTGCCTCTAGAATCAGAAGCTTCCTGCAGAAGCTCTGTTATTGCAGAAAATGTTGTGGTGTCACCAGCTTTGGAGTTGTCCTTTTGGAGCGGGCAGGTCCCCAGGGAGAGGAGGGATGCTCCTAAGCTGTATCCAGTGAGTTGGTAGCTAAGGTGGCAGGAGGTGGCTTGGCAGAGCTCCTCTCCCTCATGTAGTGACAATTCATCTCACACACAGATGTCACCACACACATCTCTTGACTATCTCCTAGTGCTTCTTCCAGGATCCAGAGCCTCCATTTCTCTGGGCCTCAGGGCACTTCATCCCCTGCCCGTCCATGTCATGCATGTTGATCAACAGGAGGGGGCTGGCCTTTGGACGGAGGCACGGTCCCATCTCTGTGGCCCTCTTTGGGGCTGGGCCCAGCTTTGTGAGTCAGCCTCGGGCATGTGATCAGATGGTGGGGTTTCTGATTCATCTCTGTGCTGCTTTCTGCTTTGTGCAGCATGGGGGGCCAAGAGGGGAAACACCATCCTGGTTTCTATCAGAGCAGCCCCTCCACCATCTCTCACATGCAGGGCGTCACCTGTTTCTGCTAGGAAGAAAGGGCTCCGCAGCTGCTGGGACGGAGGTTTGGAAAAGCCCCAGGAGGCAGGTGGACTCACAGCAGCTGGAGCACCAGAGGCCCCCAGTGTGATGAGCGAATGGCTCTGGGTCAACCCAGGAGGAGGCCCCTGGTGGGCTGCTGCCCTCTAGCTCAGCAAGCAGCAGAACCGTGGCTTGATAAAGACATCAGAAGTATGCTTATCAAATTTGCAGATGATGTAGAGTCATTAGGGTGAGCTGACGTGCTGAATGACAGAATCAATACTCCGTATCTCCTCCACAGCCAGAACAACCTGCTGGAGCCATGGGAGGCGATGGGCGCGGGCGGAGAGGACTCCCGAGGTTCAAAACATCCATCACACAGGAACCAAATGAGGCCTGGTTTAGCAGCCAAGTGTGTGGAATGGCCAGGTTGGACCGTGGGTGTGTGGAGTGCAGCCTGGTGTGCACCAGAGGGAGGCCCTGAGCAGAGTCCTGCTCCTAGGGTGTGTCCACTGCCTCACCCCACCAGGCAGAGGTTACTCAATTCCAGTGTCAAGTTTGAGGAATCCAGTTTCGACCTGAGTGGAGGCAAGCCAGCCCACTGCAGATGTCTTAAAGGTCAATATCAGGAGAGAAAGTAGAAGGGTTTCCAGGTGGGGATGGGGCAGGGGGCGGAGAGGTGGCTGGGGGCTCCAGAAGGCAGAATTACATCGGGTGGACTGAAGTTACGTGGAGGTAGATTTAGGCTTACCACTTTAAAAAACTCAATAAAGACACCTTTCCCAAGTGGAAAATTCTGTGGCATCAAAGAAGCTGACCTGAGGGGTAGACGCTGGGGGTGGTGAGACAGCATTTGGATC